TGGTTATTCACATTTTGTCTTCAATCGAGGACCGCCTGGCAGGTACTGACAATACCCAATATAGGCTGAAACAGCTGTCTACCGGTGGCTCTTAAATTAAGCTTTATCTAGCAGAAGTTTTTTCTTTCTTTCGAAACTGTGTGTGGAAGGTTAACTTTTTGATTGAAAGGGGGAGATGATTGAAATACGAAGAGGGATTCTCAAAGTGCTAAGTATGCTTTTCTGGCTGAGCGACAGCTCAAAGAGTTAAAGATATCGCTTGAGGCTAATTTTTCATAGTATAATGATATGGGTTCCATTTTTCAATTTGTTATCTATGTTGAGACCCAAAAATTTGTTCTCTAGTTTTTGATCGATGATATGTTCTTCAAGAATTATATGATGCAGACTACATTTGAAGGACCTCATATTAATTTCAAAAACTACACCTAACAATTTGATCTTCACAAACCTTATTTTCAAAAATATCACAACATATTTCACTATCACAAAAAAAGCACGCTTTATAGCAACACAAACTAAAAAATAAAAATTGTGTTCAACATCTATAAGTCCTATAATTAGATGAATATTACTGGAGTTTTTTCTCAACCCCAAATCGTTATTTTTAACACCTCGACACGTGTTTCGATCACCAAGTGATCATCTTCAAAGAGGAAGATTAAAACAGTTTTAATCATCTTCAAAGTGGATTATGTATTTTCTATTTAATTATGTTTTTACTATGTTGGTTGTTAATGCGATTATATATCAGTTTTAGTTGGTTTTTACTGTGTAGGGTATTAATTATATAATTTTGTATTCGATCATTGTAATACAGGGGTTTCCCGTTTATACTGAATAAATAAATACTTGTAATGAATATGGCTCAACGTTACACAACAGATCGAAAACACGTTTTTTTAAAGTTTGTCTTGTCCGATCTTTTTTGATAATCAAGGGTAAATGGTTTTAAAATTTAATTGATGCGTAATGCGGCCCATGCTCTGTATTTTTCAATCTTTGTTTGGGAACAATATAAATGGATTTCTGTCTGGTGGAATACTCATGTCTATATTTGTCATCTTCAAAATTCGATTTGCTCTCATGTACAAAAAGTACACAAACATAAATATATATATAGCATATACAGTAAGCATTTTGTTACCCTTGAAGGTACCACGACAAGTATCTGTGTAATTCATATTGAACATTGTTTTCAAGATACGTTTTTGCATTATGAAAATACGTTCTAGTTGTGTACTCCCTCCCCATACTAATATTCCATATTTCAGCAGAGGATAAACAGTCTCATAATATATCGTTTTCAGTACATCGATTTTCAAGCGACTCAACACTCTAATTGCATAACATTTATTTGCTAGTTTTTCTGCGAGATAGTCAATATGTACCTCATAATTAAGTTTACCATCTATATGACATTGCAACCACATCATTTGGAGTTATTGGTTGTATACACATCGACTGTGGGTTTTCCATTATTTCACAAGTGAAATATTCATTATTATTCTCAACTAATTTTGAGGATATTTTGCTGAAATAATTATTGAATTTATTCGATATATCGATTGAGTCACTCTGTATGTCACAGCTTTGCCTCTTTACTTTGGCGGTAATTTCGTTGCAGATACTCCACATACATTTTGTTATCAGAATTTTTTAGAATAAATCTATTTACGAAAAAATTAATTTTATTGTGAAAAAGCGTGGGATGCTAAATATCCATTGTTATAGTTGTAAATCATGCCCGCAAGAAAATAACGCCGGCCGCCGCTGGTAGCCATAAACCAGGCGTGACGGGGCTAAGAGCGCGCGATGATTCCCCGCCAATCGAGAAACAGCGAGAGTAATGTTACCGACTTCGATACTTTGGAGAAATTTCGACAACATTCGATTACGACATTTGAAGGATAACCACGAGGATATCGGGACAGTCAAGTGGACGTTACAGTGCGGTACGCGAAGTGATCTAGTAAGGCGATATACATTCATATAATAGTTGAAGTATTTGTATATTTAAACTGAAATAAAATTAAGTTTGATTATTCAGTGTAGTCAATTATTGGTGAACCCACGGGGAAAAACGTAACATTTGGTGTCGGAAGTGGAATAATTGACTGAAAATTTTCTGTTTTATGGTGAAACCAAGAAGTGTCGATTACGACGAGATGGAAGAGGCTTTGCAAGCGGGCCTGGCGGAAGAACGAAAACGGCGAAATGAAGAAGATGAACGACGGAGGGAGGAAGAAAAGTTACGCGGAAATGAAGACCGTAAATTATTACTAGGTATTCAGAAAAAACAGGAAAAAGACAAGATTCTTGCTGGTGAATATTCAGCGACTCTCAAGAAAGAGCTAGTAATAGGCACCTTCGAACCGATCCTGAAAATCGCCAGAATCGAGCAAGAAATACCTTTACAGCGTGCTCAACAATCCGCAAAGGAACTCATAGACTTTTTCAAGAAGACGTGGAACCATCTGTCTGAAGAAGAACTATGCAAGACCACACGATTCGTCGAGGAAGAGAACGATATGTTAGTGAAGGGCAAAATCATTGGTCGAACGGATTTAGTTCAACATCGCATCGATACTGGTGATGCCAAGCTCATACGTCAATCACCGAGACGTGTTCCCTTAGTAAAGCAAGACAAGACGAAGCTGCATCCATTGTTAAGGATATTTTGGAGGAAGGAGTAATCGAGGAATCAAACAGTCCCTAGTCGTCACCTGTTGTGTTAGTTACTAAAAAAGATGGATCGACGAGATTTTGCGTAGACTACAGAAGGCTTTATGATGTCACCAGAAAGGATAGTTACCCTTTCCCTAAAATAGATGACACCCTGAACATCTTGGCCGAATGCAGATGGTTCTCAACATTAGATCTGAAAAGCGGATATTGGCCGGTGACGTTAGCCTCGAGGATAAAGAGAAGACTGCCTTTTCCACAGGGAATGGATTATACCAGTTCAAGTTTTGGCCTTTTGGATTATGCAACGCACCTGCAACATTTGAACGCTTGATAGAGTTGGTGTTGAGAGGACCCGCAACATTTGAACGCTTGATAGAGTTGGTGTTGAGAGGACTTACCTGGAAAACATGCTTGATCTAACTTGATGACATTATAGTCGCCGGAGTGTTTTCACGAAGCTTGGGACACGTTGTGTCTTCAAAAGAAGTTGAAAACAGTTGAAAATCAAGGCAGTGCAAGAATGGTCAACACCGAAGAGCAAGTACGACGTAAGAAGCTTCCTTGGACTCTGTAGATATTACCGGCCCTTCGTGAAGGACTTTGGAAAAATCGCCAGACCGCTGCATAGCTTAACAGAAAAGAGAACACCTTTCGTTTGGTTTTTAAACTGCCAGCAAGCATTTGAAGAGACATTTGACCAGCGCACCGGTCCTGGCGTACCCAAAGGAGGAGGGCTTTTTTATAGTTGACACGGATGCATCGCAACATGGAATAAGAGCAGTACTTCCCCAGATACAAGAGAAAGAAGAAGTCGTCATCAGCTATTTTAGTAAGTCCCTGGGAATGTCCGAAAGAAATTACTGCGTTACTAGAAAAGAACTCCTTGCAGTAGTCAAAGCGGTGGATCACTACCACTCCTTTTTATATGGCCGTAAAGGAAAGGGTCACGGAAACGCAGATAGCCTCTTAAGAAGACCATTCCTGACACCCGAATGCAAATTTTGCCAACGCCAGGAGGACAAGGATACCCAATTACCAGAAGAAGAACTTCCCACCAGACGTGATGAGGTAGCGGACACAGACTCCTTTGTGGACAGCTCTGATAGGGAAATAAGCTCCCCTACCATCCGCCGCTTCGTGTTCCTTCTGCCCGGAGGGTAGCAACCTGTAAGGGTCCCTTGTTCAGGGATACGGACAGCCAATTTGAGGAATCACCTGACTATGGTGTGGTACGGTCGTTAACAGCCTCTGAGGATGTCACTACTTTCCTGACGAGGCAAGACATCGTAGCGCAGAAAGAGGATCCTGTCTTGAAAACTGTACAAGAATGGATTGCCAAAGCAGCGAGTCCGGAATGGCAAGAAATTTTCAAGCACAGCCAGCAGGAAAAGGGTTACTGGCGCCAATGGGACTCCATGAGCATTCGTGATGACCTACTCACTCGGAAATGGGAAAAGACCGGATGGAAGAACCCACAGACTGCAGATGATCCTTCCTAAGACGTGAATCCCGAGTATCCCCGAACAGCTTCACGATGGTCGCACTGGAGGGCATTTCGGAGTAAATAGAACTCTAGCGAGAGTACGTAAGAGGTACTATTGGGTCAATTGCCGTCGAGACGTGGAAGAGTGGTGTAAGCACTGTGACCTGTGCTATTCGAGAAAGGGTCCGAAGACATGGCAAAGAAGAAAGTTGAAGCAGTACCTCGGTGGTTGCCCTTTCGAGAGAATCACAGTCGACATTTTAGGACCACTCCCTATGACATCTAGTAACAAGTACCTTATGGTTGTGATGGACTTCTCCAAATGGCCTGAAGTAGTAGCCTTACCCAACTAAAAGGCTAAAATGGTGGCAGAAGCCCTGTTGCAGAACGTAAATGCCAGACACGGAGTACCCCAAGAACTACGCTCGGATCAGGGCCGCAACTTCGAATCGGATTTATGGAAGGAAATGATGACTCTGTTGGGAATAAAGAATGGTCGAGAGGCATAATCGCACCATCAATAACTACCTCTCGATGTTTGTCTCCGAAAACCAAAGAGACTGGGATAAACTGGTTCCTCTTTTTCTGTTGGCATACAGGAGCTCTAAACATGACGCGACTGGTTACACACCATCCATATTGTTAACTGGTAGAGAACTGAAGCTTCCGATTGCTGTATTGTGTGGCAGTCCTTTCGGTGATAAGATTTGACAAAAAGTCGCTGCCAGTGAGCTTCAAGAAGGGCGATGCAGTGTGGCTCTACCAACCCCAACGACGGAAAGGTTTGTGTCCCAAATTGCAGAGACCATGGCAAGGAACTTACATGGTAACCAAAAAGATAAACGATCTGGTGTACAGAATCCAATTGTCATGCACCCAGACGCAAGCCTGAAGTTGTCCACATAGAGAGGCTGAGTCCTTACATGGGTCGTGATGTCCCCTCTTGGAATGTTGTTAGGAGCGAACAACCTCAGGGAAGGGGGTAATGTTGTAAATCCTGCCCGAAAGAAAATAACGCCGGCCGCCGCTGGTAGCCATAAACCAGGCGTGACGGGGAAGAACCCAAGAGAGCGCGAGTGCATGATGATTCCCCGCCAATCGAGAAACAGCGAGAGTAATGTTACCGACTTCGATAGAACTTCGGAGAAATTTCGACATTTGACTACGATATTTGAAGGCTAACCACCAGGATATCGGGACAGTCAAGTACACATTCAAGTGGACGTTACAGTGCGGTACGCGAAGTGATCTAGTAAGGCGATAGACATTCAAATAATATTTTATGCCTAAGGTTGTCTCAATCTCATGGTAGGTCACATGACGATCTTGCAATATCAGTTCGCGCACAGCATCAATGGTTTTCGAAACAACAACTGATTTTGGACGACCTTCACTAAATTCGTCAAAGTGAACTATGATCACGATTGAATTCACCATACCATCAATGAACACTGGTCCTTGATGGAGCTTCATCGCCAAAAACTGAATTGAGTTCATCCATGCACTGTTGCTGAGTTAATCCACGTCGAAAGTTGTAAAAAATAATCGCACGAAAATGTACACGATTTAATTCCATTTTTGGGCCGAGATAAATCTTTTAAGTCACTGTAAACAACACAAATAGTGCGTGTATGTCAAAACATTCTGAGTATGTATAAGCTCAAAAATGTCCAACTTTATGATAGAGCTGTCAGTTGCCAGATTGCAACACTAGGGTTGCCAAATCCCAAAACATACAAGGCAACCCTCTTATCAAAGGGTGTTTTTTCAGTTTTTCAAAATATTATTTAAAAGATAGCAAAAGGCCGAGGACAGATTCCTGAGGTACTCGGCATTTAATGCTCATTTAATCTGAAGATGAACTTTTGAAATTCACTTCTTGAAGACGATCTGAGAGATTTTAATCAAACCACAATATTTTGAGATAAACACAGTCGAATGCTTTCATCAGATCACAAAATACTGCCACTGCAGCCTCACCAAGATTCAGCTGAAGGTACAGTTCTCCTAGAATAGCAAACATTGCATCATTTGTGGTCTTAGAAACTTGAATGTCATATTGATTGGAGTGAAGAATGTGATTTTTGTCAAGAAAAGTTAGCATTCGCTTTTTCATTAATTTTTCAATAATTTAAGATAGACTTTGCAGTAAAGAAATAGTCCTAAAGTTCACGGGTATATTGGAATCATCAATTTTTAGGCAATCTGGAAAAATAGCATTTATAGATTTATTTATAGCTTCTGCTAAGATATCTAATACATCGTTTGGCAGTCAAATAAATATTTCAAGTGAGAGATCATCCCATCCTAAAGAATTTTCATTTTTTAATGCCAGAGAGTATTTCTTTTATTCCGTTTCCAGAGGTAGCTGAAATAATTTGGTATGACTAAATGCCTAAGGTAACTCATTGGATTTGATGTTTTTTTGCTATTTTTTGAGCAATGGAACAGTACTAAATGTTTAATTTGTTTGAACTCAGTTCACTATCAACAAAATATGTTTTGTTTTTTCCTTTTAATTCATTAACAATTTTCTACCCTGCTGTTTATTATTTGCATTTTATATTGGATTGCTGTAATACATTGTTTTCGCATTTTCAATGATTTTTCTATAAATATTTTGACAATTCGAGAAAGGACACAGTTCACTCATTGATTAAGCGGCAGACACCAAGATTATGCAATTTTTGTTTATATGAAAGAGCTACTGACCAAGTCGAAAACTCTAGTAATATTTAAAAATTGGATAAACTTGGTGTCTGTGGCCCAATCAATGAGTGGACTGTGTCCTTTCTCGAATGAAGAAAGTTCACTGTCAAGATTAAAGACATCATCTCGAAAAAATTTGAAACAGATATAGGTACACTGCAAAAAAATGTTTGAACACTAGTTTTATTCTTTTTTTTGTATTTGTATTTCATGACGTATTTGCTTCAAATCTTGGGATCAGCTGCTGATAATGCTGATGATAAATAATAACGTACTACTGTCCTAACAATTTTGTTATTTAGATTATCATATTGTATATTCTTATTTTTTTTTTAATAAAAAAATGGAGTACAATCATCACAGTGAATTCTGGAACGAATTGTAAAAAGTTGATTCAACTCTTTTATAGTTGAAGACAAAAAGTCACATTTTATGTGAAATCTGAATCAAGTTATTTACCGGCATCTGTAAAATTAAATTTATTGTAGAACATTTTATTATATCAGTCAGTTACCACTTAACATCTCTCTATATATTTTTTCAAGGCAGGGGGTCATATTCAGTCAGTTTCTAAAGAGATATTTGATATCAATTTGTTTCATTGATAATACTTGTCTCATTTTATTGTATTCGGTGGTTACTTTTTCAGATAATTCGTTGAGGTAAACAGATTTCCGAGAAATCGTTCATACTTTTATTGTTAACCAAAAGAAAAATTCCAACTATTAATATTTGTTTTCTCAAATATTCCTAATAACCATCAAGTTTATGAACAAATTGTATGGGATTTTTTCATAGTACCATAGTACTTTTGGAGGTTACCAAAATTACTTCTACTACTACTAGACTACTAAAAAACATGTGGCAGTTATTCAGCCTATGAAATGACCACTGTAACTATCATATCAAAAGAAAATGCATATGATTATAATTACAAACATATAAAGATTTTTTCATGTGGGCAGGTATATGTGTGGGTTAATATATTTGTTCACACATACACCCAAGTGCTACTTAGGTGTATATGTGTGTTTAGATATTTTTCTTCCACCACAAATGGGATTGAATTCATTTAATTTATATTGAACTGGTTTATTTTCACCAAATGTATTTTCAGGTCCTAAAAGGACTGTACCTGATTTAAAAATCATACATACCTGGATTATTCTCCTCACATAAGGATTCTAAACAAACAGTCTCTGTTGGACTGGGGCTAGTACAGTCTTGTTTAGGAAGTTCTGGATTCCTGTCGATACATTCTGCCATTCTATCTACCTATCTACAGGCTACAATCATCAAACCTCTCACAACACATTTCCTAGATGAAAAAAATAAATTATTAATAATGGCCTTCCAAAAATATAAGATATTCTTTACCACATGCTTTTAAGTAATTGCTAATAGAATTCCATGAACATTATTGAATTATAGTAAATTTTTGATATATGTACTGTAACCAAAAATGCTGACTTAAAGGTGAACAATGAACTGAATAAAATCGAAATGAACATAAATAAATACTGGCTGAAACCATACCAACTTGGCCAAGCCCGAAAAAATTTAAACATCTCAAGTTAACTAACTACATCAGATGGTCTGATGGTAACCTTATAATTTGCAAGTAAAAATGTTTGTTAAAATTTTATACCCTTTCAAAGAAATACACAAATGGCCATCTTAAAATATATACAATTCATTAGCACCTTGGCACCATTACCAGATTACAAATATCACGATTCACGATAAAACTGACAGAACACACAAAACCAAAACCTTTAGAATATTGTTCTGTGATCTGTCGTCAAACCACTGAAAAAACATATGTGAATCCGGCCCCGGAGAAAATATACGCGGTAAAAGGTCAAGGTGAGTCAAGTTTGTTTTTTCAAACATTTATTATATTTTTTTCTCCACTTTTTAGAAAGATGTTCCTGAATTACAAATCAGTTTATTGAATAACTCAAAAGTAGAGGTTTCTAATGACATAAATGGGCTATCAATCACCATACCAGGGTTGTGCTGACAGGAAAAAATTTTGTAATGATCAAACCTGTGAAAATGTAATGAATTGTAATGACAGTTGATGTTGCCAACATAAACTTGGTGTAATGTAGAGAAACCCTATATTTAAATGACTCAATTTTCATATTTAGCCGTTTTCAAAAATAAAAGATTGAAAATGGGTGAACATTAAAAAATGAAACACATTATATTATTGTAAATAAATATAAATCACAAAATCCCTAATTATTCGACTACAATAGTGATTTTGATAGAATTATGGAATTTTGGGACTATAGTGGTTGCTATCTTCAGATTCTTTTTTCAAGAAAATAATTTTCATCAGGAAAATATGCTATCGTTTTTTTTTTCATTTGGAATTGTACGAAATTTTGATTAGTATTGCTTTCCCATTTGTTCACCGTTCAATATGTAGAGTTTGTGATTATATGATCCATCCACATGAAGTACTGTTTTTATACAATATTTTTCCTTCGTTTAGTACGTGCAGAATATATGTTTTGAATTCCTTGTTTTGAATGACAGTCGAATTTTTATTTCAATTACAAGTGTAGCTCATTCATTTTTTACCATCATGAAAGATATTACCCTCATTGCCGATAAAAATATTATTTTGTTGTATGTCTGTATTGAAAATCGAATTTATATCAGAACAATACATCAACGTGTGCATCAGTATTAGTTCAGAGTTATCTCAACAACAGCATCCAAAACGGTATTAGCAACCTTTCCAGAATGAGTTTCAAATCTCAGCAGCTTCCACAATACATTAGCGTGTGCAATATCAGTTCACAGTCATCTCCACAACAGCATCCAAAACCATTTATGAGCAACCTTTCCACAACCAGTTTCCAATCTCAACAGTTTCCATTTTTTTTAGTCTATAGTTGCATATTATGAGACTAGCAGTCGTCGATATTCAAGGATTTGTTATTGAGAAACAATGGAGAATGTTCCTCCTGATGAAAATCAAGTAGTTTTCATAAAAGAGTTCTACAACAATGCATTTTAAACTTATCATTTCAACCTTTTTCTTTAAAAAATTATTTAAATACTTAAAAAAGAGAAATGAAATAATTCATTCAACATTTAAAGGGATCATGTCACACACATCTTTGTTTGATGTCGAAAATATGAAATAACAAAAATGATATACAAGGGTTTATAGTGATGAATAAACATTATGTTGAAAGATACAAGGTTGGTAAAAAACAACTCACATACATAGGACATTTTAAAAATAAAGAAAAAGTGTTTGTGTGTCAGTCTGAATTGTTACCACATTTTATCTCAAAACCCCAACTCAAATGTCAACAAAATGAGTTAGACAAAATGCAAAATTGAAAAAGGTTGACTGATGATTCGTTGGGTCTTTTCAAGAGAAGCTGTATTTTATATTTTGAATTCATTCGGGAAATTATTATAGATGATTGATATATTGATATTAGACATTAAATATAAATTACGATATTTGGAAATTCATTTCGTGTTGTAGTTTTATCGAAATTCCTATTCAAAATAGCATTTTTTGATATAGATACCGGACGAGTTCTTTTGTGTAGGTAACCTGAGTTTTATTTGTACAAGTCAAAGGCGTTAGGTGTGGTGACGAGTTCATCATGAAAAAAGGGGGTAAGGTGGATTCTGAGACAAGTTCAAGTAATTTTCTGTCGAAATCCATAGCAGTTCAAGAGGGAATAATAATACTCAGACATTCAAAATTTCTATTTAAATTTTTTGGGAAAGAAAGTTTTTGGCTTTCTACTACTCCATCTTGATACAAAAAATGTGGGAATCTTCCAAAGAAAGGAAGGAAGTAATCAATTTTAAAATAAGTAACTCTATACATCATGCAAAGAAGTAACTTTCAGACACAAACTGGAAGAAAAAGCCCTCCTGAAACAGCTACTTTCATATAAACATTGGATTACACGAAAGAAAAATTCTCTCGAAACAAATACTTTTATATGAACACTGAATTATACAGAAGACACTATTCTCTACTCATACTCTACATTCTTTATGGAATAAAATCAGATAACATTCATAGGAATTCTACATTAAATGAATGGTAAAAAATTAAAATAAAATCATTTTTCTAGATATCGGACGAGTCCATTATTTGTGCATGAGATATTAATTATATTCGCGAGTCCATTATAAAAGGAAGTGAGGTGAATTTTTGGACATATAAACATTTCAAAGTAACGATACTGTCAAATATGGAAAATCGTCATATAATTCAAATCCATTCAAGCAAATACATGAATTGGAAGATATTTCAACCTCAACTTTGATATTCCAAAACAAAAACACTCAGTATTCACAGTTCTATCTTTATTATTCCAAGGTCATAGATATCAAAATTGATATGATTACAAGATATGCTTAATTCAGATGCGTATTGAGCATTTTATCTCAGTACGGTGACCGGAGAAAAGTTACAACCTCAGCATATGAATTTTTATGAGTATTGAGAGACGTCAAGATCATCAACGGGTATTAGAAATTCATTCGGTATTCATTGATCACTCTCCGAAAACGGAGCTTTCAGAATGCAAAGTAAATAATTTTCTTCGTGACTATTCATTTGATATAAAATAACATTACCCCAAAATATATCGACATCATAACACGTTTGCGGTTGATTTATCAATTTATCACTTCGTGTCATTACATTTGGAAACTGAGTTTTAGTTTGGAGAAATAATAGCCCACACATGTTGGAAAGTTTGTCATGGTGTGGTGGTCGCCAATAGAAAACATTTGTCATCCAATTGGTTCAAAATCCAATTTCATTTTGTTCAATCGAATATAATTAGGGGATTTGGACTTAATTATCCGTTGAGTTATCGATTTTTGAGTTCGTTCGAATAAATAATTCAAAGAAAAATACAGACATAAAGAGTGTGATGAAAATATATTATACAGCGAGACAGCCAAATACAGGTTATTAAATGCGAGACAAAGTTGAAAATAATTGAAAAATAACGTTATTCAGGGATACAGGGTGACAAAATGAACGAAAACGGTTGAGAAATACAGAAAATATACAAGGTGATGTGAATATATTAAACAGCGAGACAAGGAAATTTATGTTACTGAATGTGGAACGAGGTGGATAATAATACAAAACACTAACAACGTTGTACGTGGAGACAGAAAGCTCCACACAGTGGTTGAGATTTACATTATTGGTTGTACTTTAAGCTTATTCGGGACATAAACCAACACTCACAAAGTACCTAAAATTGAGCCCAAGTGACTGTAAGTAAAGTAAAACCCCAACAACTTCCAATCTCCAGCGACAGATATGGACTCTTTCCCATGAAGAAATGTTATCCCCTCGCAACTATGACATAACAGTCCTTGAGTATGAAGTGTAAATATTGGGATCATAACAGAAAAACATAGCCATTTCAGACGTCTCAGAATTTTTAAGCTCTATGCCGCTCATTTCAAGCGTTGTTTCGTTCGTTTCAAACGCTATTTCGATTATTTCAAGCGCCATTTCCGCTATTCAAAGCATTGTTTCGATCGTTTCAAGCGTTATTTCGATCGTTTCAAGCACTATTTTCACCGTTTTGAGCTTTGTTTTGATCGTTTTATAAGCCGTTTTGAACGTTTCAAGTGCTATTTCGATCGTTTCAAGCGCTATTTCGCCCGTTTCAAGCATTATTTCGATCGTTCCAAGCACTATTTCACCCGTTGCAAGCGTTTGATCCCATCCAGAGCAGTTTTTTCGTCAAACTTTGTGGTTATCAACCCCCAAAAAGGGGAGATATAATGCCCCAAGTCAGCGCAGAGCGGCATTTTTCTGTGATAAAATGTTTGAATTTCTTCAAAATGTTCAAATATCTGTAATAGAAACTAAAATCTCAGCTGCGCGAACGCTTTTATTTTCTAACGTTAAGTATGTGTCGGTAGGGTGTAACGAAGTTCACCATGAAATCCACTCGTTGCGCATGACCAGCACTCATGTACACATTGAAGGATCGCACGTTGAAATGTTAGAATCATGTTAAACTGCCATGTTTTACGTTTCTCATTAGGATCGCACGTTGAAACGCTAGACATCCGTTAAACCGACATTTTTTTTTAAATGATGTATTTCCACGTACCCTGTACACTTCGACGCCATAGTTTTTTTTTAATAATATATTTTGAGACAACGTTACAGCCTCGGTAAACTATCACGTTTTTTTCTTAAATGATGTATTCTGCCACACCTTGTACGCATTAACGTCATGTTTACCCTTCAATGATGTATTTTGAGACACCCTGTATACTCTACTGAATGTCCGTGACATTTCCGCCATGTTTTTTCTCTTCATTCTGATTATTTATTCATCATTACTTTCGAGCTTCCAATATTCAATTTTTATCGAGTCGTATTCTTGACCCTTCATGCTCAATTTTGAAACCGGCAACGCCTCAAACAACAATTTACTTTACAACCGATAACACCGAACCTGCCATGCTTGCGTTGGCGACGTATCAACTCGATACTATCGCTCCACCTCTCTTTGCATAGATTACGTCACACGTGTCTCTCTCACTCTTACACACACAAACAAACACATTTTATAAAATATCAATTCTTTCCCAAATCTAATGATATTTTCCATCTACATGCAAATGACGTCACAATTTCCCTAAAATTCTACGAAAACCAAAAAACGCGGTTGAGTATACAAAATGAGTCAATTTCGGTCCCGACAAAACAACCGCCATAAATATCAACAATTATCAATTACTCCCAATATTCCACGTTGGTGTCGAGGATAAGAACAACGTCTACCACGCCGACGACCTGGGTTCGATTCTCATACCGATAAACTTTTCTTCAATTGAATTTCTCCCAATTGTCGATGATCACGTGACTGGTATGTGGCAAGTGGGCTCAGGTTTGAAGGCCCAAGAGGTGAGGTGGAGTCCTACGGGGGCTAAGGGTCTGGGGATAAGTCCCAAGGGGGCCCGAGAGGATGAGGTGGTGTCCCAAGTGGGCCCACGCTCTTCGAATCTTATTATACTTATTCCATCCTGCATCGATTATGTCACACGTTTCTCTCTCCCACTCTTCGAAACACACCTACCTTGAGTTGGGTGTTCCACAAGGTTCCGATCGGATGTCATGAAAATTGGTAAAAAAAATCATCTACTGAGTATTCTCAAACCTAGTTCTGTTTTCGGTAGTGGGAGTTTTGCGCCACTGCCGGTAGACGAGAATTTTGGAGGCGAGAGCTTGCTCGCAATTTTTGTTGAACTAAGGTTTAACGTTATAAGGTCGTTTCATTGAAAAAGGAATATCTGCATCCATGGATGATAGAATAACTTCCGTGATTTGAGAAGCACAAATCGATGGATCTTCAGAACTGAAACAAACATCTAGCCAGGGACAATTTCGGAAATGGTCTTGAAGATCCTCCCATTAGAATTGATCCCCAACATTTATCGGTAATTCACTCAACACTGAAATGAGTTTGTGGTCAGAAGATCCCAATGGAGACCTTTCGGTGACTGTGTAAATTACTGGATTAGTTATTAGGTATAAATCCACAAGACCAGCATATTCTCCATCACGGTCAGGAATCTTGGTTGGCTCATTTATAATTTGAGTAAGACCGCTGTTTATTGCGAAAGTCTCAGCTTCGCGACATTGTTCGTCGTTGATATTTGAAAATTTGAGCCATTTTATATTGTAGACATTGAAGTCATCGAATATGGAAATCACAGTAGAATCATATTAGACAATGAAAGGAATTGAAAAACATCAATGTTTTCATTTGAAAAACGAAAAAAGGTTCTACGGAATTGAGGATGTTGTGAGACGTTCCAAATAAAGGCGGGTAAGATGTGAGGTTATTTCTGTTTCCCAGCGGGTATTTTGACGATTCTGTTTTAGCAATACTGATTATAACTTTATAATAAAACGGAACTTGCCTAGAAACCCTAAACAAACCATAGGTGTTTTTTGCCGCTCAAGTAATCAAAACGTATTTTTCTGTGATTCAAATACATTCATTCTGGCGTTGAAACGATAAAGTCACATCAACTACGATTTAAAACATCTTCATCATGATTCAAATCAAAACTAGCGTGAGGTTGACTGGATTTGACATCTGACACAAACTGAATCATTCCATTCTGGCAAATCTCATTATTAATGACGTAACTATGAATCGTTTTTGAATCCACAATTGAATACGATTAAATGCCAGAAAACACCTTATATTTTTCTCGAATGTCCAATTAGTACTACTTCTGAAAATGATTAAAACCAATTCATACAGAAAGGAATATCAGCTCCTCTGAATATGTCTACAGTCTTGGGAAGATTAAATGTTAGCATAATAAAAATTATATGCAAATTCATGAAGTGTAACCATATTAAATTATAATAGTGGTGGGGGGCACACCTACACCTTTTCCCAAATATATTCTTTTCAATACTAGTATCAAATAACCTTTGTATGCTTTATTTGTCCGGTGAATACCTACTAACAAGTTAAGATAGAACGTAGATTCTCGTGTCAAAAGTTACAATTACGCAACAACAATTCAATTGACGTTGACTAAGCGTCTATCAACAACATAAACACGTAGTTTGTTTTGACAAGATATACGTCTCCGGACGAAGCGATTATTGCATAACCATTTCGTATTAGTCTATTATATACGGCATAATATTAATATAGGAGGAGAGACTGGTCTACTGCGCCGTAAGGGCAGCAAAGACCGAAAAAAAGAAGAAGAAGAAGATAACCTTGTACTCAGTTTTGTATGTAATGTTTCCAAAATAACAGTTGGTGTACTCTTTGAAAATACCTAGAAAAACAAGCTGGAATAGCAGCATCCTATGTTGTAGCGAGTAGGTGTATCTGGTGTATTAATCTTTGATATTTTCGAAGATACGTGATTGCATCTCATTGCTTGGAAATGTTCACTACTAAAGCATTTATTAAGAAGACTAGAATAGGAAACTTTTTGAAGGTAAAATTAGTCAATACAGGTTTACCTAAATAAATGTGATACTTTCTATTGCAGAATGTGAGAGAACATTATATTCGAGATGACATATATTGTGGAATTCCAGTATGTTCAAAATGTAGTTTTATCAATTCCAACTTATCTAGAAATCATGTTAATAGTTGTTCACTTGTGAACCATAATCATTACTTGATATTGGACACCAATATTATTCTAGATCAGGTACAATATGTTTTTTTCAATTAATTTATATATAATTTTTCATCAACTATCTTACAGATGGACGTTCTAGAGGAGCCTGTACTTGGAAATGTAATCATACTACATACTGTTTTGAAAGAAGTTAAACACCGCAGTTTGCCAATTTACAAACGGCTGCACAGTATCATAGAAAATCCCACTAGACATTTTTATGTCTTTACAAATGATCACCACAAGTAAAGATTTTTGTATTGATAAGTAATCTATTGAATTTTTTCAGGATTTTTTCAGAGACTACTTCGTAACTTTTACTTTATTGAAGCCACACAAAAACTAACGCATCACTTACATTTTGTAATTTATAGGAAAATTTATTACTTTTCAGCAGCACTTTGTATAATTTGTGATGGAATATGGCTAAAAATATCATTTGCACATGAGTAGAAATGTTTTTAGTGTTTCCAAAAAAATAAAGTCAGGCTATTATTTGCTCAAGAACACTGACTAGGGTGTGAGCAAATGGTGCAAAATGCTTTTCCCAGATGATTCCTGATTCAGCTATACGAATCAGATTAACTTATGCCAGTATATAGGAAAGCTAGTGGGTGCTATGCACATTAATATTTTCAAGATACCGAAGGTTTTAGGGAACAAATAGATAATTATGGTGTGAGAAGAGTTTTGTCATAGTTATAAGTATGAAGCCTGCAACAGCAGATATAAGAGACATTTTAGAGGACCACGTCTTCCTAATGCACCATTTATCAGCCATCATTTTTTACCAGCGTGAAGTTGGCATTTACTTTTCAGCAGTCACTTTGATTGCAGCACACAAATTAGCAGTATTGTTGGTGAGAAAACAATATTTGCAATAGTTACTGACAGCTTAAAATTTACAGAGTATATTAGAAAACATCTTAGGAACATACATTTGCAAAAGGTATGAGCGGGTGTAATCTATCCCTGAATATTAAAGACCAGACATAAACCCTTTGACAATTCACAGATTATGGTAGAAGACGCCTTAGGAATATTCAGTATCGATTTCATCAATTTGTTAGTGGTTAAGGGGATTTAGTACACCCCTAAATGATAAGTCATTTTATAGTCCGGTAGAGATGGCCACATTTTCTTCAAGTGAGTTTTTACAATTATATTGATGATGAAAAATACGAAAAAAAGAATGTAACTATCCTTACTTAAAAGTGAAAACCATCAAAGAGAGATCAAATCAAAATATGCTTTATTACCCAAGATCTGAACATCTTCTTGGCAAATTCAAAATAATGCTTAGAGACAAGAGCAGAGTACATGGACAGAACAATATTGAGCCCAGCTGAACAGATACAAATATAAGTATATGAATATAGAGTAAATGTAAATATATTATGCTACATAATGAACATTGATAGCCATTTCGTGTTGATTTCAATAACTTGTTTACACAAAGCTACATGCCAATTACTCGATAGAACCTTGGTAGAATTCGTCCACACTATAATAGGGCCTCCCAACAAGGAATTCTTTTACTTCCTTTCTGAATTACTTTTCATTATATATTTGCCTTAAATTAATGGGAAGGTGATTGAATTACTTCTTGCTATTGAAAATAATAGAATTTTGTGTAAGGGCAGTAGGTGTTGGAGGGAAATGAAGTAAGACTGACATGTACTATAAGTTGAGGTGGTATTAAATTGATTTTTATATTTTTTGTGGATGAGACACACTGTTTCCAAAATAAAAAGACATACTGAGGTCAGAATTTTTTGCTTCACAAATAATGGACGGCATGAATACCTGTAGCTAGCCTTGCATAAATATCTGATGGATCTTTTTTGTAGAGAGAATACCATATTGAAACGAAATTGTGCACAATTTCCCCAGAAACAAATTGCATAACGTAAATAGGATTCAATTTGTGCAAAATAAACTGATCTTGTGATAGTAGTGTCTTAACTTTCTTGCAGTGAGAGGCATGACATCCTGCTGCTAGTCTTTTACATAAATAGTCGACATGGGAATCAAATTTTAGGTTTTCATCAATGAAGAGCCCTAAAAATTTGTTTTTCTCCAAATTTTCAATTTTTACATTTTCCAAGAGTACTCCTATGTTACATCTAAACGTGACCACATTTGTTTTGTCGATGTTGAATGATAAAAGATTAGAATCACACCACTCTTTCACCCTTCTTATGTCGACGATGATTTGATCAAGTAAAATTGAGGCGGTATTGCTATGCCAGAGGATAGTGGTATCGTCAGCGAAACATGTGAATTTACCACTTATGTCAACATGGAGTAAGTCATTGACATAAATGAGAAACAACACCGGTCCCAAAACGGAACCTTGTTGGACCCCACTGCCAATGAAACGTTTCTCTGATGAAATTTCATCTAATAGAACATTCTGCCGCCGATGAGAAAGGTACGTCTCAAACCAAAGTAATGCAGATCCTCTAAATCCGTAAACTTCTAGCTTGCGAAGAAGTAGCATGTTGTCTACACATTTGAAGGCCTTGGTTAGGTCACAAAACATGGCCACCGCATAGAGAATGGAGATAATATTCCGATATAAAATTTCATAATATTAATCTCTCCCAGCTGTCTACACAGTAGGCTCTGGTAAACCTCTGTCGGAAAACAACTATTTCTTTGCTAGTACCACGCTGGATATTGAATTATATCTGACAGACATTTATGCAAGATACCTCACACAGAGGTTAGTCTTGCAGATGTTTCTTGATCGTGCAGCAGTGGGACCATGTTGAGATTATTCAAGTAGATAACTTGCAGACCGCGATTTCGCGGTATTATCTCTCGTCAGTACAGGAAAGATCCTACCCAGACAGCAAAGTGCCTGGGACTCAGTGTTGCCACAAGCTATTTTTCCATCGAGGTAGATTTCTCGAAGGGAGCGGGGTAGAACCGGTGTGGATCCACATTCACATGATGACACCAATCACAGTGACGCATTGACGTATACGTCGTTCTTTATTCTATGATAAATTTGACGATCGTAATCAAAAACATAAGTCACATGTCATCGCATCCAAATTTGGGATCGATGTGTTTTCAAACCATTTCTCGATAATATTAGCAGTCCTCAAGTTTTTTCCATATAACTTCAAAGAATTCGGATTCCATCCTTTACTTCCTTCGCAATGCACAATGATTAGTCGTGATCTTTTGTAGGCTTGATAGGCGTACACATTCTCAAAACATCAGTCCACCCTTTCGTAACTGTGTCGTGAGTATCATACCAAGTTTCGTCCGAATAGAAAATTTGCCGTTATTGTTGTCTATATTTAGTTATTCGTTCTAAGTATTTGTTCCACTATTCTTCTGCTTTCCATAACAGCTTGACGTTTGTTTATTATTTCAAATCTAAATCCTAGTTTCTTTATCCAATTCTGAAGAGTTTTGTCACACCAGCTCACGTTATGGCCAGAAATATTCAATTTATTCCTTATGATTTCGGTTGTAGGAATCTCATTGCTTTTTTCAATGATTTTATTAGATGAACATGTGAAGGTTTTGGTAATCCTGTATCACATCGCGTCTTACGTTCATAAGGTTTGTTTTTGACTATTTTACGTACAGTTCGGCACCAGACACTCAGTCTACGCCAACATTGCCAAGGGTACTCGGCTCGTGTAACGCGGTAGATTCAAAATCAAACCTCAAATATTAGTTCATTTTTTTCAATTTTTATTTTACATTCTTTTGTTTTATACCTGAGCGGGGTAGATATACTTGAGGGGAGCGAGAGGGTGAAATCAAGTTCAAGAGGGGTAGAACTACCCCGTACGGGGTAGCTGTGGCAACAGTGCTGGGACTTGATTAATTTCAACAAGGCTGCGCTATATGAAACCTTTGTCTAAGAGAAAGATTGTTAACTAGTAACAACTCCATCTTGTGAACAAATCCCCAAACGGGGAAGAAACATCACATGTACCAAAACTAACAGAATTCAAAAATGAAAACTATCGAGGAGAGATGCATACGTATAAGAAAATAACTATTTCGTAATTAAAATTCAGAATACTAATCGCTCCCAACTACCTGCACAGGAGGCTCTGGTAAACGTCTGTCAGAAAACAAATACTTTCCCGGCTAATACCATGCTGAATATTGAATTATATACGTCACAGAGGTTAGTCTCACAGATGTTTTTTTTTCATCTATTTCCAGGCTTGACGAGAGGTAATACTTCGAAACCGCGATCTTCAGGTGATCTACTTGAATGATTTCAGCATGGTTCTGCTGCTGGATGAATGAGAAACATGCAAGACTAACCTCTATGAAGTATCTTGCATAAATGTCTATCAAATATAATTCAATATCCAGCGTGATATTAGCCGGGGAAGTAGTTGTTTTCCAACAAATGTTTACCAGATCCTACTCTGTAGGTAGTTTGAAATTTTATTTTGAAATATTTATTTTCTTATTCTATCTTTATTTGTACTTGTTATACTTTAATTAAAACAAAATCATAAATAGACGTAATTGGCAAATAATAAAAGAAACTCCACTGGCCATAGAGTATTCGGGAGATGGCCATAATAGTGAGTGATGGCTATACCTATTTCTAGGTGATGGCCACAAGGATGGCACATGCAGTTTTCGTGCCAATCAGTCTTCAGTCTTTTCAGTTTTACCATAGTTCGCATCATGCCCTTTGCAACAGTTTTTAGAGTCAAGATATTTTTATTGACCCTTTTGTACATGTTCAGGACATGTAAGTAAACTGTCAATCTGTTTATATCGTTTTTTAACTTGATTTGTTTTACTGATTGGAATGGGGTTCAGATTGAGTACTATTTCTGATAGTATTTCTTGAAGTGTTTCAAATTCTTGTGAAGTGCTAGGTTGCGTTAGGTCATAAAGTTATTTTGAGATTTGATATGAGCTGGACAAGCTGTTTTTTTTTGCACAACTAGCAGTTGGGAAGTTCTAAATGTTCAAAGGGGGTAACACGTTTATTGGTAGAAGTCAGTTTTTCCCTCTCTTTTTGTGAAGATAATGCATATGCAAATTCAAGTATTGCTAATCGATTTAGGGAAAATTCACCTGTGGCTTTGAATGCTGAAATGATACTTTGTGAAGTGGCTGTTTCACTTCAAGCTACAATCAGTAACTTCGTTTCAGTCACATTTCGCTTCAGTCACATTCAGCATGATATATAGAAGAAGGTTTTAAGAGATTTAAAAATGTCTCTGTCAAGTGGCTGTAAATA